CTAGCGATTGTGCTTCATGACTGTATTTGCAGACTTTGACATTTTATGATATATGTACATTAAGGAAAACATTTCCTTTTTACACTGTGTTCTGCAGTTCTCTAATAAAAGGGTATTTCATGCTATTCTGTATCACATGTAGGCCTAGTCGCGCCATGTCCTCCTGCGCTCCCGTTGTGGACAATGTGACTGTAATGCAGCGCTGATTATTATCATTAATTTTTTTTTATACACTTTGAATTACGTTTGGATTTTACTAGATGTTTATAGCCTAAAACAATCGGCACAAATAACACTGTTGGATTTAATCTTCATGATAATGTGGATGTAACGTATGAAATGGAGTGAAAATTAAATGTCATTAATTCTTATAATCGTTCTCCTCACATTTATTTTCTACAATCTAACTTCAGTTCACTACCTCACCATCTGTGTCGCCAATTCCCTTTGTCTCCAGAATGTGCGCACGCACGGTCAAGAGCATCCTTACGGTGCGCACTTATTTACGCCAAGTTTATTTTTTATAAATCCCGATATATGCGTGGGAAAATGCGTACGCATATTTCTATGCCCATTTTGTGCGTACGCAACGTTTATACGTGAGGCCCCAGGTGAGTAAGGTAGCCTATTTTATTGAACAAAATTTCCATATGTAGCTCTTTAACAGAGTTTATTGTAAAGCATTATTTTGAGTCATTTTATTGTGGTTGTTGTAGCGCTTTGCTGGAACTTTTTTTTAAGGAAGTAGGCTACTGTGTCTTTAAATGGGGAACGTCTTCAGCTAGTCAACTTGAAATCTTTTCCATCTAAACTGGTTATATCTCCTAAGCCTTGTATATGTTTTATGAGCAGTAGGATAATCATATTAATTATCCGCAGCATAGACAGTAAAAGAAAGTTCCGCAGTCGCAGAGTCAAAGCACAACCAAACAATGATGGCGACGAGAAGGACAAACGTTATGGTGTAGCTGTAGCCTAAAGGCTACCTTTAAATATCAACTCTTTCACTCATTTAAACCTTTTATGTGAAATGCTCATATATTTGTAATATTGAAGCTTATAATCAGTCTACCTCTTAACAGCTTTGTCATAGTAGGCTATTTTATTTATCGGCAATAATCAGAGGTGGACAGTAACAAAGTCTACTGTATTTGTAAATGTAGGCTACTGTATAAAGCAAAGTATTCTAGAAATAAATTTGATATTGATATGGGTAGGAAGGCAGGCATAGATTCAGGGGCATACTGTAGGCCTAAGTATTACATACAACAATTGTTGCAACAATAATACATGCAACAATAATAAAACAATGCATTGACATTTACTTCTTTTGATGCTTAAGTAATTTTAAAAACGAGTAGGCTACTTATGTAATTTTACTTAAGTAAAAATAGGTCTTTATAACTTTTACTTGTAACGGAGTAATATTTGACCAATAGTAAACTCTACTTTGCATTACTAAAATCTGAGATGCAGAGGTGTTTTTAGTCTTTAAAAAAAAGTAATTTCTTTAGAATCCAGTAGGAGGCTAGCCTAGAAAATACGGTGGCCGAGACAGCTCAACGCGCTGCAACTGAAGCAAACACATGCAAATAGAGAAAATCGCGTGCAAATAGAAAAAAACGCATGCAAATAGAAAAAAACACATGCAAATAGAAAAACACGCGTGCAAATAGAAAAAAACACCTGCAAATTAAAAAAAACATCTTCATCAGTTTCACAACACACGTGTGCTCCAAATAAGGAAACGCGCTGCAAAAGTTCACAACACAACCAAATACAGAAAACGCGCTGCAAATAACACAGACCACAACGGAAATGTTTCCAGGGGAACCAAATAAGTGACGAACCCGGCCGAGACGTGCTTATTGCTCGTGAGCTTCCCTATGCCATACTCCCTTCGAAGGGGAGATTGCAGAGCCCTTTTGGAGTGAGCAAGGCTCTAGTGTGCTGTTAGGCAGCCGTGTGGAACGCTTGATGAAGGGAGCAACTAAAGACAACGTGGGATGTTCCCATGACAACGCAGCACGGCGTCCATCAGCTGGTCTTACGACAGAAATATGATGCTGTTAACATAACGGATGCAAATACATTTTTATTTTTATTTTACAAAAAAAGCTTTTAAAATATGCGTTATATATCTGTGTCTCAACTTAAAAATTTTGGACCCCAAATTACCTAACATTTCTTACGAAACTTTTCTTTATGAAAATGTAATAACATGAAACAATTTGTACAGTGTAACTGATCTATAGATAAATATCTTTCCTTCATGTTTTTCTTCTTTATATTTTTTATTTATTTATTTTAGTTTCTAGCTCATTGTTCTTTTCTCATTTGTATTCTGATGACATTGAACATATTGTTAATACATTTTGTACATTGTATACAAGTTGTATGTCATAAAAAATGTAATCTCTGTATGTTTTGCACAAACAAATAAATAAACAAATAAATAAAGTATAATTTTAAGCTGTAAGCACCAGCACGCATAGATTTATGGATGCCAGCACGTCCTAGCCGGGTTCGTCACTTATTTGGTTCCCCTGGAAACATTTCCGTTGTGCTCTGTGTTATTTGCAGCGTGTTTATGTATTTGGTGGTGTTGTGAGTATTTGGAGCACATGTGTGTTGTGAAACTGATGAAGATGTTTTCTTATTTGCGGGTGTTTTTTTTATTTGCACGCGTTTTTTTCTATTTGCATGCGTTTTTTTCTATTTGCATGCGTTTTATTTTATTTGCATGTGTTTTTTTTCTATTTGCACGCGTTGTTTTCTATTTGCATGTGTTTTCTTCTATTTGCATGCGTTTTCTTCAGTTGCAGCGCATTGAGCTCTCTCGGCCACCGTATAGAAATCTAGACGCACCCTAGCGGCAGCGAAAATTATTTCGCAGCCAGTGTGGTCTAGCAACTCTCCATAGGCTTTTGAGCTGGAAAAACCAAAAACTGGTCAGGCTAATCACATCGTGTATAGAGTCGGCGGGCGGGCTTAACACAATGACGGCACAGTTCATGACGTTCCGCGTGATTTCCATAGGTGATTTCCCTGCTACTTGAAAACAATGAAGATGCAGCGGTCTTTCGAATCGACTTTGGCCGCGACTCTGGAGGACTTGGAGTTAAGAGAACGCCACTTAAGTCATTCTTAAAAAAGGAAGATGTGTTCGGAGTTTTGCCGACCTGATACGGCAAAAGTTTAATATATCAATTAGCTCCGCTGGTGGAAAAACGCATGGGACTCACTCATCCACAAACGTTCGTTGCTCTGGTTGGTTGTAGCGTTATTATCCTATTGCGTGCAGAGGGATTTTGAAAGGTAACCGTTTATCCCGCCCCTCGGATTGAGGCATTCAATGGAGAGTTCCCAGACCTAACATCTTGATGTAGGTCTGGCATGCCAGGCTAGTATGAGGCGGCAAATAATTATAATCATGATTGTGATATTTTATATGTTGTAATGTGTCATCTCTACACCACCATGTTAACGCCCCGTTTATGACGTGTTTACCGAGGCGATCAAAGCTGAAACAGTGTAGTGCTGTGAAACTCATTTATGTAGGTGAAGTTTCCAGACACTGATGAATTTCATGTGTTCACCTTGATAATAAAACATTAAGCATGATGTGTGTGTGTGTGTGTGTGTGTGTGTGTGTGTGTGTGTGTGTAATTATTTCTTTGCCACTCTCTTCAACAATAAACTCAATCCACTCTCCTCAGCAATAAACTCAATCCACTCTCCTCAACAATAACACCAATCCAAACACCGACTACGACAACCCACGGAGTTGCCATGGTTTGGCTTCACTTTTATAAGAAATACAGCCGCCAGGTTTCAAACCTGTCAACACTGGATTGGGCTGTCAAAGCAGTCAGGTGGTTCACTACAGGAGTGAAGCAGTCTCTCCCAAATAGAGGTCTCTGCGGAACAACAAGAAGGTGTTTCCCAATTAATGGGCGTTTTCAAACCGGTCTAGGCATTTTCCAACCATCCAATCATAACCGTACGGATTCGGAAGCCCTTTCAGAAGCGGAAATTTTATTATAGCACTTTCAGAAGCGGAAATGCGTTATTATTATTTCTCGGGTTTTTTCTTGATTTTTACTATTATGTCTATATCGCGACAACATTTGATTTATGTAAAAAATAAAATACAGGCTACAACTACCTATTTTCTTTAAAAAGGAATTCTTTCATAAGATATAAAAAGGAATTCTTTCATAAGATAGTTATACAAGATCTGTATCTTATAACATAACGGGAAATTTGGTTTATGAAAGAATTCCTTTTTAAAGAAAATAGGTAGCTGGATTTTATTTTGACATAAATGTTGTCGCAATGTATATGTAAATGTTGTTATAGCCTGTGAGTGTGTATTATATTTTATAATATTCTCTCCTACCTACATGCAATTTTTCTCTAAATGTAAACCTTAAAAGGTAAAAGTATTAAAAATTACTTTATTACTCAACTATTTATAATTACATTAGTTTTATTTTCGTTTTGTGTGTGTGTGAACAACACAACATAAATCAAGTTGTAACGGTGATTAACAAGGAAAAATTCAATTTCCAATAAAGTTACCAAATCCTACTGTAAAGCAATGGTGAAAATTATTGTATTGGTCTTTCTCACCTGTATTTTTCAAAATATATTTATATGTAATGACTGATATTTAAGTGATATTTGTAGCTTACATTAAATGATATATAAAGTAAAACGTATTGACCTTTAAATTAAGGTAAAATGTGTTTACTTAGAATAATGACTCTGAAAACTTTAAACATTAGCATCACTTTATTGACCGTATAGATACTGTAACCAATATGATGAAAAACTGTATTGATAAATGCAGCATTCTCTATTTAATGTAATAGTAAAAAAGAGAGCATCCAATCCAATCAAATAAAATAAGCAATAAATGTGGCAAGTTCAAACATGAGGAACACATTGCATGAAACATTAGATGCTTCCTCCACAGCCACATAGAAACAGTCTCCGCAGTATCCTGGGGAGTCATCAGAGCCATAGAACCCCTGCAACACACCTCTTTGCCCTCTTCCTCTGTAGCCTTCGCCACAGTCTTTGTATGTAGTATCAAAATGGAGACATCTGGATAGACTGTATGGAACCCTGTACAGGTTTCTGACATTTTCACTGAATGCCTTCCAGTTCACGACACCTAAAAAAAAAGTTGTCAGCTGACCTCATCATTGTCTTAATATTCAACCATACATAACTGAGAAAAACAGAGAGAGCTGTGATTAACCAAACAGTGACACTAATAAAACTTACTGTCCAACCACCGAAAGTGAGCCTCTCGGCGGAAACTTTCCATGCTCACAATGCTGTTGAAGCACCTGCAGGTGAGGGCAAGGGAGCCAATTGCAACATCACCATCTTGAAGCACAACCTCCAGGAAGATTTCACGAAGGACCAGCGGAGGAAGCTATACATGAACAAAACATAATCTGAACTTCTTGTGGTTATAATGATTCCCTTGCATTTTATAAATTGAGTAATAACAAATACATGCCTCCTGTATGTTCAGGGGTTGGTCAACAGTTGCCACTATGAAGGGACAAATGAAGAACATCAGTAAATAACAGTCAACATTTACTATAAATAATAGAGCACCTCAAACAAAATAAATCATACCAGTTTTGTGTGGCTTGTCAGTCCGCCTTCTCTTTCTTTGCTGGATTTCCATGACCAATCTTGATAAATGTATGACATAAAAACACATTAATAATACAGTATATCAAGTTTCATTGATCAGGTGCTGCTGGGGCCAGCGAAGGAGTTTGTTGTGGTGGATCAGGTGCTGCTGGGGCCTTATTTTATGCCCAGCTATATGGGCCACTATTTGATGATAATGTCTGGGTTTACATATTTGAGATGTGCAGAAGGGGCATGTGAATAAATTAGTATCTGCAAGGTAGCGCTGTGGTTGAGGCTCTTGTCCTCTCCGCTGAATTGTGATGTGGTGAATAGACAACAATTTCATCCATTTTAATTTAACAAGTTTCCTCCACTGTACATAATTATGTTAGTCTATAGGTTTGACTACACATGTGAGGTATTAATGCCTGCACTGATATAATGAAAAGTGTTGAACATTGACTAGTGAGCTGATCTCACAGCTAAAAAAGGTCAAATCATGTTTCTATTTAAATCTAGGTGTCTGCAGAGGTTTTTGTTAGGGTTATGAGATATAATATAAATAACAGAAAAATTATAAATATTACATTAAAATTGATATTAAAAATAATAAACTTAACAAGCAATGCTTTTTCAGCTTTTCTTGTTTTCTTACAGCGCACCTCACACTCAAACACCATTTCTTATATGAAGGGACTAGGGAGTGGGTTCTGGACTGAATGAAAACGTAATTTATCCACAAAAAAAATTTAATCGTTTTTAATCATTTTTAATTAGACAATTTGCAGTTAGATTAATGTGCACAACACTTTCCTTAAAATGTATTTATAGTTATTTATTTTTTTATTATTGTATTTATAGAACATATTAGTAGGCTACCTATATCCCCTGGTTTCACAAACAATTTTAAAGCCTAGTCCTAGACCAAATAAGTCTGAGCTGTTCCAACTGAAATACACTTGCACTGACTGATCTTAAAATATATCAGTGTCTTTGTTTTGTCTCAAGATGAACACCAGTAATGTTTTTTTTTTTCTAAGCATGTTTATGAAAATTATTTAAATGTCCTAATTGAACTATGGACTAATCCTGGTTTAGGCTAAACCCTGTCCCTGTCTGTGAAACCGGGCCATAATTCGGTGGAATAGCCCACTAATATTTGTTTACAATTATTGTTTTCTAGTCTGACAAGCTAACGTTAACTATTTTTTTATATTACAATACGCCGACAGTAAGCAAACTACCACTATCAACACTAAAGTAACAAACGCATGCACCAAAAAGTTAGCGAATGTTTGCTAATAGTGGTTAGCGATAGATTGTAAGTGGCAGACCTCTTGGAGCTTTTCTTAATCGTGTTGCAAGCAAGTTTACACAAACTAATTAGCGTTAACTGACGTAAAATGAGAATTTACACAAATCCACTTACATCCATATGCAGGACAGGTGACCTCTCTCCTCATTTCACCCATAGACTGTACCGTTTTCTCGCTATCACTAATATCTGAATATCTGATGGGGAAAGCGTATTCAAGTATCACCCACTCAAGTTTTAGCAAACCAGGCAGAGAGATTGTAAAACGCCTACCTGGTTGTAAAACGCCCCCAAATTGAGGCACGCCCCTTGTTGCTCTGCAGTGCGTTTGCTTCAGACGTCATTTTCACGTGACTAATGACGTAATGATACAAGCTCCGAAGCAGTGGTTCATTGCAAGGACCGTTCGAGTTTGAAGCAAGCTTCGGAGCGTCGGTGTCAGACGTAACATCACTAGAGTTAGTAACTCCCTGTTTGTCAGCAGAGACTGGTTATGTCAATTATGTGAAATCTGACAGACTACACGACACACAAATAGTTTAATATTATGTGATTATGAAGCTGGTGATCTTGCTGTGGATTCTGCCTGTAACTTTAGGAGGTAAGAAACTAAAATATATATACTGACATTTATTTTCATGTCTGATATGTATACAGATCAATACAGCCTCAAAAGTGTCTCATCTCACTAACTCAACCTTGTACAGTCACATAAGAACCTCTGTAATTCAATTAAAGTAACTTTAATTGTATCAATGTTTATTTAACTTGTTATCATGTAAATGTCATGAACTACAGGGTGATTGTTTTTATTGCTTACAGAGATAGAAATAATTGTCATCGATCCCAGATGTACTGTAATACCTACATTTTAGATGAATAATTTTTTTTTTCTTATTTATACTAATGTTATGATCATTCATTTAAAAAAATACTATTTTAACCACTTTCAGCTGAAAGTAAACGCACCAGAATGGGTTTACTCAGATTTGAACTTTGATACACAAGTAAATGATTGCAGACTTATTGGAAGCAGATGTTCCATTGAACCCAATGGCATTTCACAAAAGCTATTTCAGCATAATTCTCCATGACCTTATTGAAGTGGTTTTATTCATGATTTTATTGACATAAAATGACTTACAACACACATGACAGTGGTTGAATACACCTGTATAGTCTTATGACGGTATGTTTGTGTTTTGTTTTTGACACTGGTGTTTCTACAGACATCCATGTCACTTGTATGTACTCTGCGGAATGTTTGTTACCTTGCACATCCACCATCCTTGACATCATCCACTGGTACAAGGATAGTAAACCAGTGCATTCATTCTATTACAATCAAGACCAGTTGGGCCATCAGTCCGAGGACTACAAGGGAAGAACATCCCTGTTACCGCAATCTGAAATTAAAAATGGAAATGTATCACTCTTACTAAAAAACATCAGGGTCCAAGATGAAGGCCGATACAGGTGCTACACTGCCAATGAAAAAACAAATGATGAGAAGTTTGTGTCTGTGTCTGTAGAAGGTGAGAGGAAGAACTTCTGAAACTCTTAAATAAAAACTTTAACAAAATGACTTTTTAAAGAAATTCTAGTCATATCTCATGACCTTTCTTTCCTATGAGTCTAAATGTGCTATACTTGTGGTATATATAGTGAAAAAAAGCATTAGAAATAGTCATTTAAAATTAAGACCTTATTTAGAAAGATAAATACTGTAACTATTTTTTTTTAGCTCCAGTTAAATCGGTGGATATCACTTTAAAAAATGATACCGTCACCTGTAAGACCAGTGGAGTTTATCCAAAACCAGATGTCTCGTGGTCGTCAGAGCCCCTGGCGAACGAGTCATTGAACACTTTCCAGGAAACAGAAGAAAAACTGTTTATGGTGACAAGTGAACTTAAAGTGGGTGTCATCGGAAGTACCTACAAATACACCTGCTCCATAACCAGTAAGGACAGGACAAAGACAGCTACTCTGGAAGAGCCAGGTAAATTGAAATATTGTTGAGTTACAGAATATATAAGATTAGGTGAGTAACGGCAGCTCTATTTTAGTTTCATTTTCCACTACTGTAAATTCCATTGGAAATATGATATACGATATGATAAACTCTCAATGAAAATAAAGTCCACAGAACATTTTTAGTAATATCAGAATGTAACGTATTCTGTTTCGGAAATCTCAATGGAAGATGAAATAACTCTGCTGTGCCCCCTTTTAAATAAATAGCCGTTAGTTTACACCACAGTATTAGGGGGTGGGGAATTCTCATTCTGAAGCATTTGATTGGTCAAAAATCTGTGTAGTGCAGGATGAGTCATCATGAACAGCTTTGAAACGATGTGTATTGTAAAAAGCACTATGCTAACAAATGAGAAATGTTAAATGAATTAATAAAGCGCAATTGGGAACATACACAGCAATAGTGCAGACGAGGACAGATACACTATGCAAGCCTCAGTTTTATCATGAGGTATATCAACATTTCTAGAAAGCTTCAGGTCTGGTTTATATAAAGCAATAAAACAAACACCAAATATATATATATATATATATATATATATATATATATATACACTCACCGGCCACTTTATTAGGTACCCCATGCTAGTAACGGGTTGGACCCCCTTTTGCCTTCAGAACTGCCTCAATTCTTCGTGGCATAGATTCAACAAGGTGCTGGAAGCATTCCTCAGGGAGTTTGGTCCATATTGACATGATGGCATCACACAGTTGCCGCAGATTTGTCGGCTGCACATCCATGATGCGAATCTCCCGTTCCACCACATCCCAAAGATGCTCTTTTGGGTTGAGATCTGGTGACTGTGGAGGCCATTTTAGTACAGTGAACTCATTGTCATGTTCAAGAAACCAATTTGAAATGATTAGAGCTTTGTGACATGGTGGAACTAGCCATCAGAGGATGGGTACATGGTGGCCATAAAGGGATGGACATGGTCAGAAACAATGCTCAGGTAGGCCGTGGCATTTAAACGATGCCCAATTGGCACTAAGGGGCCTAAAGTGTGCCAGGAAAACATCCCCCACACCATTACACCACCACCACCAGCCTGCACAGTGGTAACAAGGCATGATGGTTCCATGTTCTCATTCTGTTTACGCCAAATTCTGACTCTAACATCTGAATGTCTCAACAGAAATCGAGACTCATCAGACCAGGCAACATTTTTCCAGTCTTCAACTGTTCAATTTTGGTGAGCTCTTGCAAATTGTAGCCTCTTTTTCCTATTTGTAGTGGAGATGAGTGGTACCCGGTGGAGTCTTCTGCTGTTGTAGCCCATCCGCCTCAAGGTTGTGCGTGTTGTGGCTTCACAAATGCTTTGCTGCATACCTCGGTTGTAACGAGTGGTTATTTCAGTCACTGTTGCCCTTCTATCAGCTCGAACCAGTCTGGCCATTCTCCTCTGACCTCTGGCATCAACAAGGCATTTCCGCCCACAGAACTGCTGCTCACTGGATGTTTTTTTCTTTTTCGGACCATTCTCTGTAAACCCTAGAGATGGTTGTGCGTGAAAATCCCAGTAGATTAGCAGTTTCTGAAATACTCAGACCAGCCCTTCTGGCACCAACAATTATGCCACGTTCAAAGTCACTCAAATCAACTTTCTTCCCCATACTGATGCTCGGTTTGAACTGCAGGAGATTGTCTTGACCATGTCTACATGCCTAAATGCACTGAGTTGCCGCCATGTGATTGGCTGCTTAGAAATTAAGTGTTAACGAGCAGTTGGACAGGTGTACCTAATAAAGTGGCCGGTGAGTGTATATATATATATATATATATATAAAGCAGATACAAATGTGTTGAACATGGTCATAGCACTTGAGATATCAGTCAAAGAGATTGAACCCTCTTTTCTTTCCATACAGGTTTGGAAACTGTCGAGAAATTAACAGGATCAGTAAGGGCCGGCATTATAGCAGGCATTGTTGCCATTGCCATTGTTATTGCCATTGCCATTTGTGTTGTGATAAAAAAGAAGAGACGTGAGTTATTATTTTTTTCTTTCATTGTTATATAAGGATTTTATTTATACATTTGACATTTAACAAAAAGAGATAGGATAGTCCAAAGAGATTGGACCATTACCATATCCACAGTTTTCATGTCATTCAAATGAATCTGCCTTCCTCTTTAACTTTTAAACTCAGAACTGTATGCATTTTACCTCAATGTGCTAACCTAAAACTGAGCTGCCATGTGCCTTCACACAGATAAATACCAGAGAGGGAACACCACAAGAAACAACAGATAAGCCAGCGACATATTCCTCTCTCATCAAGTCCGTAGAGTCCTTTTAAAATGGATTAACAAATTCTTATAGTCTGTATGAAAAGTCTTGTGGATGGGAAAATGACAAGAAATCCCAGCACCTTGCACAACTCATATTTATTACTCAGGTCTTAAATTAAACGAGGACCAGTAAAAGCCTGAAGATAAATAAGAAGACTATTAAAGGCAAAGACATGCCCGGAGAAACCAGTGAGCGGAATGAAAACATGCTTCTGAAACACGTTGTACTTTCCAAGTTTTGGCTTTGGTTTGAGTCTGAAGCATCATTGAAGCAGTCACTGCCCAGACTCGAGAGTCCTTCTAAACTCACTGCCAGCTTACAGACATTCAAGCTTTGAGGTTTTAGAATGTTTTCTGTATGAAGGACTTTTTCTTCTATCTTTCCCATTTTTGAAATATTTGACATTACAGAAGTGGATAGATCAGATTCTTGTCATTCTGTTGTCTCAGTTCCATGACGTGAACATTAAACCGGTTTCAGCAGATTCCACACTAATCCATCTTCTGAAACCACTTTCTTAAGAGAACCAAACCCAACAGAGTCAGTCCTTAGCAAGTTACGATTTGTAGTAAGTTACTGTGACTCAAACAGAATATGCAAACAAGCGAGTTTTATTTTTTGCTTGATTGTTTGAATTGCTGCTAATCTGTGGCCATGGCAACATCAACATACCAACAATGATTGTGATATTTAAGCTGTCTATCCACATGTTGATAAAAGACACTAAACAATGGACTTTGTGAGGGGCAATCATGTTTTTTTGCTGTTCTTTTACATGTAAACCTATTTGTTTACGATCTAAATTGCAGTATTATTTAATTTAATGAAGATCAATTTGGCTATGAAGTTAATGATGTAAATAAAAAAAATGTTAATTTGCCTCATTCCATAACAGGGCTTGGAAAGTCACTCTTAACTATGTGAAACTCTGAGTCATGTTACGAATCAAGTGATAAAGGAAATCATACCTTTAGCCTGAAACGGAGACACACCTCAGCTATAAAACAACAACTCTTCATCATACGATTCATTTTACAAATAAATCAGAATTAGGTGGCGGAAAATTCTTCTTCTTCTATTTAAAGTCTAGGAAATCTACGGGAAATTGTTTTACACTAAGCTTTTTATTCCAAATACAGCTTTAACATTTAAGAAAATAGTTCAACAATTACTTTTTTTAGTCAGTTGTTTGTGGTTTCTGATTCACTGGCTTTTAATTCACTGTGAGCTGCTGTCATGGATGTGTGGTTTGCCCTGTGTTTTTTCTTTTTTGTGTTGTTTAGCACTTTGGTCAGCTGTGCTTGCCGTTTTTAAATGTGCTATATATCTATAAAACAAACTTGAAATTTGATACTGATTTATCAGCTGTTGGTGCGTTAAATCTGACAAACTGTGAGAATCTGAGAGAATGTTCAAACAGACGAGTGAGATTAACACATGTCTCTTGAAGAAACATTCACACTCAGATGTCAGAATATCACTCAAAGAGCCAATGTGTGGTATAGTGTGCTGGCATACGGCCACATCTGATTGGCTGACAAACAACTAGTCAAAACTATGAAGAATGTAAAAAATCAGGTTCTGACAAAAAGTCAAATGCAACACTGAAACTTAATGTGAAATAATACTTTTTATTAATAATGTTTTATTATTTTCTGAGCTGTATAAACTGTCATTTTTTGTTTTTCTATACACTGTAAACAATGATTTTCAAAGTTGTAAATAAAACAATTTATTGTAGAATATTTTACACACACACAAAAAAAATACTATTTCAGAGTTATGCATTAGTATACCTGCTCTTGTTCTGGTTTATTTGCACATTATGTTGTTTTCTACACACTAATTTTCTAAACTAAACTAGTAATTCAAATTTAAACTAATAATTAATAAACAATTTAAATGGAAGAGAGCACTTATGAATTCAATAAACAGAAATAATGTGAAATCAGTGATTTTTCCATGCCTAATCATTTTAACAAGGAAGTCACACCTTTAACATGACTGACCCTAATAAAACACACATTCCGCTGTAAAACATTCTTATCAAAGTGAAACTGAACATTTTCTGTTTCACAAGACCTTTAACTCACTTTTGTAGGAACATGTCCAGTTGGCTAGAATGCCTCTGATAGACATTCTATGATGATCTGGATAAAACAATAAGGATTTTGTTGTTGTTGTTGTTAAAGCATTAATAACTATTCTTGTAAATTGAAAAAAACAAAAAGGGGGAAAGGTTTAATCTGTTAAAAACTGTGCTTGTACGGCGCCCTCTAGTGGCCAAGGATTAACATTTTAAAATTCGACACATATTAGCCGCTGAATAATTTCAGTCTGAAATAATTTCAAATGAATTTAATCCAAAATGAAAGCAGAATAATGTTCTGTCTACAATTCATTCATACATAAGCTCATGAAAGTATGAAAACATTGAACAGATTAGTGACCAAATTAAAAATGTACAAATTAAAAGTGACAAATAAGTGATTAAATAAGTTATTTTCACTTCATTAAGCATGTGAAGTGTACATGAGAATGTGTGTGTCACAGAGAGAGGTTGGCGGTGACGTCCTTGAGTTTGCCGCTGCTGAGACTGTGTATCATGGCGATCATTTGTGTGTGTTTGCTCAGATCTTCCTCCATCTTCTCCACCCTGGCCTCTAGCTGGGACTTCTGCAGCTCCAGAGAGGAAGCCTACAAAATGAGTGCAACAACAGAAAACACACTAGATCATTATGCGGCCTATCTGTCGTTTATATAACAGGTGTAATATATTTAAAGCTAAATTATGAGTGTTTTGTTTAATAGACCGTATGAATTGAGAGGTTTGAATGAGTGTTGACGGTACCTTGATGCTGCTGTCCTTCCTGGCTTGCTCTGTCTTATTAAGCTCTTTCCTGAGAATGGAAATATTCTCCTCCATCTCATGGATCTGCTCTTCTTGTCTTTTCAGCTCATTCTGAAGACCTAATACAGCACAGCAAGACACATAATTGTATACTTCTCACCAAACACACAAGTGTGTATGACGGAAACAGCAGAAAGTGCATTAAACCCATATGACTCCAGCTTTTTTCTCACCTGTTATATTTCTGTCTTTCTCCTGCACGTCTGACTTTAGGCCCTTTATCTGCTCTTCTTTTTCTGCCATCTCTGCAAGAGTCCTGAGCAGATAGAAGACCAAATATTTGAAAATCATTCAATCATTTTCAAGGTATTCATTTTCAATTAACAGTCAAGTTTAGTTCTATCAAGTTAATTATTGTTGTGGGTGTAGTAATAAAGTTTTTTTATTATTATTGTTAAATTAATATATTTACAATACTACTACTAATAATAATATTTTTGACATATTCAGGGTTGGTAAACTAACTCCAATAAAAAATAACAACAATTATTTTATTTTATATATATACAAATTTTAATTAATATAATAATAATAGTAATTAGTAATATAGTTGTTATTATTATTATTATTATAACAACAACAATAAATTAGTGTTATTATTTGTTGTATTATTGTTAAAAATAATATTATAACAACAATAAAAATTGACTCATTCAGGGTTGAAAACCCAACTCCAATAAATAATAATAGTATATAAATAATATATATATATAATAAATAAAGTATTACAATTATATTTATATATAATGTATATATAATAATTATTGTTATTAATAAAATAATAAATTATTATTATTATTTGTTATTGTTAAAAATATAACAACTATTAATGATAATATTAATGTCTAATTCAAGGGTGACATTCCAAATAACCCAGCTTCAGTGAAAAATAATAATAATAATATTTTTTATTATTTGAGTTGGATTATGTAATAATCATAATATAATAATTGTACTAATTTAAGGGTGGCATGAAGCATAGTTTAACTTTAATAATAAAACAATAATATTTGATGAAACCTTTTTATTAATAATAATAATAGTAGCAAAAATAATATTAATACAATTTTTAAGATTAAGATTATTATTAGAATTGGGTTATGCTTTATGCCACCCTTGAATGAGTCAAAAATCCCTGACATTCAAACCACCGTTTGAAACACTGACCTCTCCTGTTGGAGTTTGAATCCCTCGTTGATCTTTTTCAGCCCCTCGGCCTGCTGGGTAAGAGAGATATGGGCAGCCTGCAGTTCCTTCAGCATCCCTTCACCCTTGTCATACCTAAAAAAAAGGGAAGAGGAGAAAGAAGAGGTTGCTTATCTAAAACAAATCACTTGACGGATCCATTCCTGAATGGCTAAGAAATTGTCTCTGAGTGTGTGAGAGAGGGACACTGACCTACTGAGCAGCTGGTTGTATGTGCCCTTCAGCTCCTGATGCTGGTCAGCCACTGCCTGCAAACGGCTGTTGTGTTCCAGGAGCTGCTGGCTGTCCGATTTCAGCCTCTCCACCTCCAACAGCTGATCATTCAACTCCGTCTGCAGATCCTCTTTCCTCCGCTCTGTGTCTTTCAGTAGAGAGGCTAATTTACGTGCCTAGAATGGGGGAAAAAGATTGAAAGAAATGAAACCTTTGAAAAGAGCCAAACAGCAATAAAGAAGAGCATAAGACATAAAATAAATGTGCTCATGCAGTCAAATATATATGTTTTAAATGTGTTAAAAAATAAAAGTGCTCATATATGCAACTCAAGAAACATGCATAATTGAAAAAATACAAAAAAAAAAGTTGACAAAAAGTGGTGTGGAAAGTGGTTAGCATTGTAGACGGGGAAAAGAAAAAATCATCTTTTTATGAAACCTCAGCTTCCGCCTGAGCTCTCTGGCAGCGGTATTGGGCAATAAGTCGATCAGCCTGTGACAGTGCGAGTGCTTTGGCCTCCAAAAGGTCCTGCAGACGGCTCTCTTTACACTGCATAGATAAAGGTACATATAATGACAAACATCTGCACAAGTTATATATACACAGGAAGATTCTACATAACTTGGTC